TTTTGTTTATTTTAGGATATCAATATAGAAGGTCGTGGCAACAACAATTTGTTCTTGCTAATTTTCTAATTGGCCAAGCTAAGCTAGCCATTTTGAAATCCCATCAGAGTAAAAATGCAGGAAAGGATGTTGATATGGTAGCAATGTTTAAGTCTTTAATAGAATCCCGAGTGATCATTGAGTATACATATTATCAATATACTGATAATGTTGCTTTTTTGAATGGAGGTGGGGTGTGAGAGAGGCACTGGTATCTGTGAGTGAAAATGGAAGCTTAGTATTTAATTGGTAAAATGGTTTTGATTTTTTGTTAATTATTTGTAATTGTATTTTGTTAATAATTGTTCATAATTTTTTTGAATAAAAGGGGTTTTAAAAGTCAAAAGTCTCTCTCTCTCTCTCTCTCTCTCTCTCTCTCTCTCTTCCCATCAGAGTAAAAATGCAGGAAAGGATGTTGATATGGTAGCAATGTTTAAGTCTTTAATAGAATCCCGAGTGATCATTGAGTATACATATTATCAATATACTGATAATGTTGCTTTTTTGAATGGAGGTGGGGTGTGAGAGAGGCACTGGTATCTGTGAGTGAAAATGGAAGCTTAGTATTTAATTGGTAAAATGGTTTTGATTTTTTGTTAATTATTTGTAATTGTATTTTGTTAATAATTGTTCATAATTTTTTTGAATAAAAGGGGTTTTAAAAGTCAAAAGTCTCTCTCTCTCTCTCTCTCTCTCTCTCTCCCTCTCTTTCTCTCTGTCTCTCTCTCTCTCTCATAACTGCATTAGTCTGCGTATTATTGCTGAAGCCTCCGTTACTAACATAGATACATAATACATAAAATAAAATGACGTTTTGTATTCAGCAATGGGATTCTGCATTAGAGAACACTGTAAAAAGTTCTATGGATTATGATAAATTTTTGTTTGCTGTTTTGGAGTGGTAATATTATATATTAATTAGGCAAGGGGGACCCAAACTTTTCTTTTGCCTGTGTCACAATAAGAGGTAAATCCGACCCAGTCGATATTACTGAGCACATTTTAATTCTGATTGGAAATAGGCCTACCAGATACGTAACTGTTATATACTGCACTGCAGGCTATCACACCATCTATTGGAATTTGCTGATATTGTTTAAATTAGTCATTTTGGACTAACTGCCTCACGGGCCAGATGAAAGTACCCGGCAGATCGTAGTTTGCCCCCTCTGCTCTAAAACATGACGATGAGGTTTATTTTTACATTAATGAAAACTTCTCGAGTTGGTAAAGCACTGGAGAAAATCTTATAATTTGCATATGTTTAATTCAAATTTCTGTAGAGATTTATTTTATTCTATAAATATATTTTATATATTTATTTTTTCGTATTTTTACCCAAAATAGGGTGGTGTGAGCATTATGGAGTGCTAAAATAAAGTCTAAATATGCCTCACAGAAGTAATATAACTTATGCCGTTCCAGGAAATCCATAATATGGACATCTAGCTATCCAGCTATTGCTGTAAAAAAATAGTATTGAAAACAAAAGAGTATTGAAACCATGTTTTTAAAATGATACCTTATAAGAATTGTCTCTTAAGAATCATTTGCTCATTAATTGGACTGTTTTTTGTGACATTCAGCGCAAATGAAATTTATCAGCAGCCAAGTGACTTTGTGCAACCCACTTTGCCCCACTTGATATATATATATATATATATATATATATATATATATATACATACATATATATCACTTAATCTGTTTTATATTTGTCTTAACAGGATGCACATCCCAATGTTAATAGAACTATTAATAATGCTTTCATATTTAATGTGCAAAGATTTTCCCCCCCAGATTTTTTCCACAAATCTGATCAGTTTACTGTTTAGCTTAAAATTGTACATGTCAATCAATTATATAATGATGGCTATGATATATATATATTAAATAATATTAACGTAATACATTATACATTACTTTAACTATTTAAACAGAAGAGAAGAAAACAAAACAAAAGAAAATGTAAACTATCGGCAAATATTTGGTCTAAGATTCTGGTATGCACCTTTATGCGTGTGCACATTTAAGCATTAATCAGACTCATTACTAATACATTCTCTTAATTTGTCTCATGTCATTAAGAAGCAGAGCTTTGTGGGTAAACACCTGTTATTGTCATTCAGAGTGCATATGTGGGGCAGGACAGGGTGAAAGGCTCCGAATTTTTTTTATCAAAAAATAAAGTAAAAACAGTAAATCTACAAAATGAAAGAAATGCTTTCAATTTAAATATTTTTAAATGTGTTTTCCTCTCATGCTAAAGCTCCATTACTCCAATACATTAATATTATAATACATTATTATTATTATTATTATTATTATTATTATTATTACAGCTGGCATACCACACTGACAAAAAAAGCAAGGCTTGCAAAAGAAAATGCTCTGCCACATCCTAACACTTTCTCTACAGTGGATTCATCAAAGCGCACTTTCTATATTTCTGTCAACTTGTCGGTAGCGCAAGCGCATGAGTGTATCAGAAATAGTAACTCGCTCTCAGTTACTGAACGACTGATGAACTCGTGCTTTGGCTTTTTTTACTCCTTGGGAAACTAATGATAATGATATTTCAAGTCCAGTCAAATCAAATATGTAATGAATGTCATGTGGCATTCAGTGACATATTTTTTTAAATATGCATGGGCTAATAATCAGTCAGTAAGATTTTCTAATGGTTTTGAAACAAGTCTCTTCTGCTCAGTAAGGTTTAATTTTTTTTATCAAAAAATAAAGTAAAAACAGTAAATCTACAAAATGAAAGAAATGCTTTCAATTTAAATATTTTTAAATGTGTTTTCCTCTCATGCTAAAGCTCCATTACTCCAATACATTAATATTATAATACATTATTATTATTATTATTATTATTATTATTATTATTACAGCTGGCATACCACACTGACAAAAAAAGCAAGGCTTGAAATGTAATGGACTATAACAAAGTTATAAATGAGGACAGCACTAAAATAGTAACTATTTTGAAAATGAGTTTTCTTTAAAGTATTTGTAAGCAAACTTTGAAATATTCTCACAAAATCATGAAATATAGTAAAGAAGGGTTTACATTTCTTCCATTTGCTTGTGTAAATGTGATATTTACCCACCAAAATTAGCTTGCCCACTATGTTAGAAACAAAGGAAATTATATCAATGTATTCTCAAAAAACAGGGTCTTTTCTAAAATAGAAAAGTATATTTTTTTTTTTCACTGAAAGCTAAAACATCCAAACATATGACAGCAGTAAAAATTGTGTACAGGAGCTCCAGGAATGGAAGAACAAACTAAAATCTCTTCTGTAAAAATGCCCCTGTGGATACAGTATATTTTAAACAGGAATTTTTTATCAAGTCTCTTTAAATTTGGAATTTGGTACTGTAAATATAATAACAGTCCTCATTATAAGCACAACATAATAATCAACTTTAATATTCGGTGAAGACATTTAGACTATGTTTTATTTGGGAAGTCGTGGCCTAATGGTTAGAGAGTTGGACTCGTAACCCAAAGGTTGCGGGTTCGAGTCTCATACCGGCAGGGATTGTAGGTGGGGGGAGTGAATGTACAGCGCTCTCTCCCACCTTCAATACCACGACTGAGGTGCCCTTGAGCAAGGCACTGAACGGTCACCATACTTGGCCACATGTCACATGTCATGTCACGTCATTTGATGGGGGGCAGTGAGGGACCTGGCTAATGGGTAGGGGGACGCTTGCCCAAAAAAGATTGAGAACCATTGCTCTACATAGTTTTTACAACACATGGACCAAATACAAATGATGTATGCGTTTTCTGGCCTTTAGAAATTAAAACGCCCTCAGGCTTTTCAGAGCCTTATACTTTATTTAATAAATAAATCTTCCAGCATTGCTGGGGAAAAAAAATCAACACAACCAAAATTTGGGTTCAGTAAAATTATTTTATTATATTGAAATAAATGAATACTTTTATTCGGCAAGGATGCATTAAATTGCTCAAAACAGTATAGACATTTGTACTGTTACAAAATTTCAAATAAATTCTGTTCTTTTGAACTTTTTATTCATCAAATAATTCTGGAAAAGAAAAACGTATCATGTTTACTACAAACATATTAAGCAGCAAAACAGCCTTCAACATTGATAATAAAAAGAACAAGTTTCTTGAGAAGCCAATCAATATATTACAATTATTTCTGAAGGATAATGTGACACTAAAGACTGAAGTAATGGCTGTTAAAAAACAGCTTTCAATTACATTTTTTATTTTTTTTACAGTTATTAAAATTTGTAATAATTTTTCACATAATTACTAATTTGACTGTATTTCTTATCAAATAAATGCAGCCTAATTGAGCATAAGATACTTCTTCTTATGAGATAAATCAACTGTATGTCACACTAATGGCACTTTTCCACTGCATGGTACGGCACGGTACGGCTCGGTATGGTTCACTTTTGGGGGGTTTTCCACTGGGTACAGTACCTGGTACTTTTTTTAGTACCACCTCTGTTGAGGTTCCAAGTGAACCGTACCGTTACCAAAACGTGACGTGTAAACTCTGCTGATCACTGATCGGCCGGAGAAAATCATCACTACACTGAACTTGCGACACAAACACAACAGAACCGCTAGATTTAAATCAGCACAGCAAGCGAAGGAAAAGTTTTTCAGGAGTCACGGCAATAGAGGCGGCGCAACTATAATGACACTATAATGTGAATAATCCCGCCCACTCTAAAGCGGTACTGAACTGCAGTGGAAACGCAAACCGAGCCGAGCCGTGCCGTGCCGTACCATACTACACAGTGGAAAAGCGCCATAAATGACACAGAGATGGTGGCAGAAATTGTTTTAGGCCAACAGCAGTTTCCCAGGAGGTGCTGCTCACTGACACACAACTGTCTTGACTAACCTCCCATTTGCATTCATCGACTCACATGCGTTCTCTCTCTTTGTCCGTCTCTTTCTTTAGGAGCTGGTGGGAAGTAACCCTCCGCAGAGGAACTGGAAGGGAATAGCGATTGCACTTCTTGTTATTCTGGTCATCTGCTCTCTGATCGTCACCTCTGTCATTCTGCTGACTCCAGGTATGCAGCCTGGGAGCAAAGGGCCCGGGGCCATGAGCCTCACACACACACACACACACACACACACACACACACACACACACACACACTTACAGGTATAATGCTGTAAACAAACCAGCACGTTTCAAGTGTCTACATACAGGTGCACAATCCTATTACAGACACAGCCTCTCATGTCACCACATACTGCCAGAACACCTTGAATGTTTTCCAGAACATCTTGTCTTGTACTTAGAAATGTTAAAGTTTTTAAAGTTTTCACATATGCGACACAACCACACGAACAAAATTAACACTTAGAAGGGTTCTAGTGAAGTGTAATAGCAGGCTTCAAACTGCAACTAAATTGGTTTCAAATGTGCCAAAAAATGAATGTGTCCCAAAATAATTTAAAATGTAGTCACTATTGGCCACAGCCAGGAAAAACTGTTACACATTTTTTGTTGTTGTTGTTACTTGGCACATGAGATCCAATTGTTAGACTGTATCAACTTTTTCAGGGAGGCATGTTGGAACCATAATCAGTACACCATTTTTTCCCCCAAACAAGCATTATTGATACAAAACAGAACAATATTTATATGACACAAATACAATCAGGATCATTAGACTGACATAATTTGATAGGAACTCATTTATAACTAAAACACACTCTAGTGTACACTACAGTTCAAAAGTTTCAGGTCGCTTAGATGTTATTATGATTTTCTAAAACATCTCCAAGGCTGCATTTATTTGATCAGAAACATAAATATTGTGAAATAATATTACAATTTGATTTAATTTAATTTAATTATATTCCCTACTTACTAAATATATTTTAAAATGTAATTTATGCCTGCGATGGCAAAGCTGAATTTTCAAAAGCCATTACTCCAGTCTTCAGTGTCACATGATCCTTTAGAACTTAGATGGTCAAGAAACATGTCTTATTATCAGTGTTAAAAACAGCATCTTAATACTTTTGTAAAAACTCAAGAAATCAGCATTTTTGATGAATAGAAAGTTAGAACATAAAAAATAATCTCTTTACTGTCACTTTTGATAATTTTTAATGCATCATTGCTGAATAAAAGTATTTAATTCTATCAATATATATGGTGACACTTTATGCACTGTTGACATGCTACTAAATGAGTACTGATAACGTCTAGGTTACTTGTGTAACCCTCGTTCCCTGAAGGAGGGAACGGAGAATATATATATATATATGCGTAAATTATTACTTAATTTAATAAATACTTAAATTATTGTGGCCTGAATACTAAACATCTCTCCATCATAGCACACACAGTAGTGACTTGTTTAAAGGTGAGGAAGCAAGTTATGTACTCATTGACTCATTGAACTGAAACGCTTCTGCATAACCATCGATGAACCATTGTGTGATCCTGCTTATTTATTTATTTTTTCTCATTTAAATTGTCATTTGGGCACTAAATGTTCCACCTTTTAGAAGCCAGTTGTAGCCGCATTGAGTCAAATGTAGATTATGCCTTTGAATGCAGAAAAAATATCACAGTACGGTATATCAGATCTGCCTTGTTCCCCCCCATAAGAATTGAATGTTAGTAAAGTTCCAGTCAGACTCACAGTGTTTTTGTGTCCTTGTTACAGTGTAATTACACAATTAATAATATACTGTAAGTGTCAGGCATCAAGTTGCTTGTAATTATGCATAATGTACTGTTTATTATTATAGTACATACATGTAACATGTAAAACAAATACACTGTAAAGTGTTACCAAAATTGCTTAGTTCCACAGCCAAAAATCAGTTAGTTAGGTTGTAGTTTTGTTCTCTGCCATTGAAACAGCACAAAAAGAAGCAATCAATCTATGTACAGAACGGGATTAAGCTCTCACTAGAGGAGGATCTACCATGTTTAACTGCAGTGTGGCCAGTGAAGCCTGTTACTGGGCGATATAAAATTCTGTTTTCTCTTGCTCTCAGAAAGCCATTAAAATCTCCCAGCCATGCTTTAATTAGTGTGCTGTGAATGCTGGTTTGCCTACATTAAGCTAGCAGGTTCCATCTTTGAGAAACTAATTGAGAAGTTTTGTCTGTTTCCATACATTTAAATTTTTCTCTAATAATAAGCTTAGTGTAAAGTCTTCTAATGGGAGGCACAGATTGAGATGTGTCACCCTGTTTAATTTGTTTTGTTTTTTTTTGTCTGTGAGCTTGAGAGCAGGTCTGTTTGTGTGTGTGTGTGTGTGTGTATGTTTGTGTGTTTGTGTGTGTGTGTGTGTGTGTGTGTGTGTGTGTGTGTGTGTGTGTGTGTGTGTGTGTGTGTGTGTGTGTGTGTGTGTTGTCACATCCTCTTCTGTCCATTTGGGCACCTAGTCTGGCTGCAGTCCTTTACTTCACATCTGAGCTCTATCTTAACTGGAGCAGGGGACAGTTCAAGCAGTCGGGCTAACAGAGGAAGAGAGAATGAGCACAGGTCATACAGACTGAGCAGGTGGTGTCTCTAGCTTGAGTTCTGACACCTCTCCAAAACTGCGGGACGGGACATATAGGACAGCATCTGAAAGATCTCTGCAGACTGTTGCATGTCTGTAAAACAGGTAACTTATATAAGGACACCTGATTTATCCAGGAAAGGTACATTGCAAATAATCCTATTCTTGAAGTCAACATGATGTATCATTCGCAACACATTACACTTCTACAGTGTGACATTTCAGAGTGAAACAGGAAGTTTAATGAGAAAACATGTAGGGTGGGATTTATTCATCAGGAATTGATTGGATTATGAGAGTTGGTCTCTATATGACAGGTGCATAGAGGGAAGGGGTTAAAAAATAAGGGGCTAATGCTTCAAATGCTTTGAAAAAAAATTTTTTTCTCTTTTAATTCACGTGCACAATAAATCATACCTAATCATTAAAATATGGTCAATTATAATATAAATGGACACATTAAATTGATCAAAAGTTATAGTGAATATAGCAGGTCATATGGTCGGAAAGGGGAAACAGCTCGAAGATGTAACTGACCATGCCACCCTGTCGACAGGGAAATCTAAATCCTTATGAATTAATCACTGAAAAAGGGCACACAGGAGCTTCCCTTCAAAAAGAATGGCCTGAGATGTGGATACCAAAATACAAAACTTTATTTTAACAATCAAGGACTACATTTAAAATCATTGAGGTGGCTTTCACACTGGGGTTGTTTGCTGTGGTTCGAACCCGAGTGCGATTGTTCCCGGCACCCCCTCTCTGCGTTGGTCTGGTTTCACACTCTCTGCATTTGCAGTCATCTTACGGCATCACAAACATGCACAACGTATGATAGAAAACAGAACGTGGGTCAATATTGTGTTTTTAAATTAATTTGGTGCTAGTATGCGCAGCAGAGTAAACGACATATGGGTTTACTGTATGTGAGGGGCATGTAGACGGCTATTTTTGAAGAGACGGCTATTTTGAGGAGACAGCGGATTACCAATCATTTGCTGCTCTGATTGCACGCGAATACACTACAGGCACACTCTCGCTCAAATCCAAGGTAAATCAGCAACACTATCATCACTTAGATGTGTTTTATTGAAGAAAATACATTGTAATCACCTAAAACGCATGTGCAGTTTACTTCCTGAACAAGTGCGCACCCGAGTACGTGTTGCTTTCATATTCACGTGAACCGACTCAGTGTTTTTTTAATTTTACAGTGGGGTAATTTTGGTGCAGTAGCACGAGATAGCTTGATTTCAAACTTTGAATTGAATAAAAAATGACAAGCAGTCAGTAATAAAATAAGAACAAATAAAGAAATTAATAATGATAGCACAATTAAAAAATAATGACAGGCCTTCGAATGAAATAAATTGCTTTTTAGTTTTTCAGGTAGGTCTAACAGTAGGGTTAAGATATTTCACTTATTTATTTTTTTATTTTTTTACCAATTATCCAAATAATGTTTAGTCCTAGAAAGCTATTATTATCAGAACACGTGAGCATAACGGTTAGCAGATAAATGAATGAGAGGGCAGCGTTACCAGAGTTGCCCATTTACCACACCTTGTTACAGCACAGTAGGGCTATTGCAAACAGAAACAATACTGTACTACATCCATGTTTCCTGTCGGCTCGATTTTTGAGTGGACTTTGCTGTTCCGATGAGCATGAACGGTATATGAGCGGAGCGCACACGCATAGAGCGGATAATACGCAGAGCGTCACACCACGTGAAAGTGAAACCTGAGCGGTGAACTAATTTTCGGCAGCCGAAATTTCTGTGCATATTATTAATCTAATTATTTGCGACATCAGAAATGGATATTATATAATAGATGCTTTTTTGAACATTTTAGCTATTTAAAAATTTTGAAAAAGGATTTTTACACGGCACCCCTGCTCTCGACAGACGGCACCCGGTTGGGAAACACTGTTTTAGAGCACCCTTATGGCATTTTTGGGAATATGCCATGATAGATTACAGGAAGCAAGACAGCTTACAGAGACCTATTTTTTGTGATATCATACACAAAAACCCTAAATCTAACCCTAATTTTAAAATAACTGCAGGACTTGGGACTTTGAGACCACAGTGGACATCTATATGAATTAAAGTACTAAAATATGATAAAGTATGATGAGATATCATAAGTATTCGGCGCAAAACAACTTTGCTTTATTGGGAAAGGATAATTCTACTCCGGACGCGAGCGGCACGACGCGACAAAAGAACCCAAAAATCAGTTATGCTGTCCATATTTACATTTACTCATTTAGCAGACGCTTTTATCCAAAGCGACTTACAAGTAGGAGAGCATATAACACACACTGGATCCAGCGCGAGGTCACATGCCTCGTTATTAACGGGTTCTTTTGTCGCATCACTCGCATCCGGTGTAGATGGGTGTAGATGTAGATGCCCCGTTAGATCAAATAATTACGTAGAAATTCGATCGCGTGATTTGTGTCATCGTGACATAACACATACTTACAGTGTTTGAAAAAGGACGTAATCATCTGCTTTTTTCTGGGGT